CGTTTGCTTTAATCAATGGCACATTGATTAAAATCTACCAAAACTGACTAGTAATGTGTCTTTACAATAAGAACGTAAGGACTGCCCTGCTGGATGGGACCTCTGGCTCATCTAGTCCACAGACTATACTCACAGTGACCAACCAACTGCACAAAGAAGCCCACTAGTCTCCCAGCAGACAGCCTTCAGAGTCAGTCACACTGCCATCAAGGCTAACAGCCACTGATCCCCATTACTTCCATGAATTGGTTCAAACTTTTTTTTTTGAAGCCTGCCAAGGTGGTAGCTAGCACCACATCTCATGGTAGCTTATGCCAAAGTTTGTTGTATAAAATGTTGTATAAAAAAAATCTTTTTGTCTGTCCTGAATCTTCCAGGATTCAATTTAATTGGATGACCTCTGGTTCTAGTATTTTATATAAAGGGAAAAATAGCTTCTCCTTGTCTAATACTTTGCCACACATAGGGAATGTTGTATGAGGCTTGGATGCAACTATGGCAGTATTGTAGTCTACACTTCTTGCTATAAAACATTATGTGAAAACCTCAATTCATCAAAACCTTGATGTTCAAAATTTTGGACCCATCTGGCATATGGAAGAGTATAATTTGGAATGTAAGTGGAGTAAATGGTAGACCTTGAATTAATAAACAAAAATATCAGAAGAATATATATGTTGATTGTCTGTAAAAGTAAGAGAAAGATGTAATCAATCTGAATGAAAGTAGGCGAACCTCGTGGAGTTAAATACATGCAGAGAAGTGAAAGAGGTTTGATTATGAATGAAAGGGCTAAAATATATGAATTAGTTCGTTAGATTGAATGTGCATATCAACATACAAATATATAGGTTGGTGATAGCTGCATGTTATCCTCCAGTGAACATGATAGTGAAAGGTCCAGAGATCTTGGGGAAACTGTGAAACATACTAAATTATTATAATTAGGTAGCAAGAGGAAAAGTGATTCTATTGGGTGTCATGAATGGATTGGTGAGAAAGAAGGAGAAAAGAAAGTACTGAAAAAGTCACTGGGCCATTCTCAGAGTAAAGAATTAATGAGAATAGTACTTGTTGTTGACTATTTGCTAAAATGTCTGTTTCAAATATATGATTTAAGTCTACTCATGTTTATATGTGGCAAGTGAATAAATCTACAAGCATGACTGATTTAATTATGAAAGACTGAGAGAATTAGTGAAAGATACAAGATTATGAAAGATTTGAATATCCATTTGTGGGGGTGCTGTGATATGATGATATGCTGCGAGCAATGCAAATTTATCAAAAGAAGTGAAAATGCCTTCTGCCTAATTTGTTACATGGAAGAGAGAGATACATATTACAGAAAAACATAAAAATTGAATGTGGTACTTATGGATTATTTAAGAAGTATGTGTGGTACAAGAATGAATGGGTGCTTAAGGGATGTGGATTTAATACAAAAATTAATAACTGGTACAAAAGAAGTACATTGAAGTGATTAGGTCATAGAGAGAATGACTGAGGATTGAATAACAAAACAAGTATATGAAGAAATAATAAACTGAGAGGAAAGGCAGACCACAGTGAGTTGTAGCTGGATGGAGCTGATGAGAGCCTTGAAACAAGGGAAGTTTTAAAAAGAATCTTAGATTTAAATTCTTCCTTCCTCAAAGTTACTAATAAGCTTCCATGGCTATTAGTAGACTTGAACCTGGGTTTCCTCAAGTACCAGTCAAAAACTCTAATGTGTGTGTGTGTTTTTTAAACTGAGAAGAAGCTTATTTATTAATAATCACATGCCAAACAGAGGTTCAGAATAAATATATTGTTTTTTCCTCAAGCTTAATGATTGACTCACAACTATATATGAGCTTAATGACTGGACTGGGACTGGAACCTTGATTTTCCTGCTCTTAAACTGATATTTAACCCTTGTGCAAACTGAATCCAAGTTGTTTAAGCCAATTTTGCATGGTCAACATTATTTCATTGCATCATCATATACTGTAGTAAAGAATGAAGTATACCTAATTAGAAAGAACTAACATCAGGCTTTTAATTACTTAGGTTGGTAACAAAATGCATGATGCTATAATTTATGAAAACAACGCATGATTGTTATTAGGAGGACCAGAATATGTTTCTAATTAAATAGTTATTAAAATAATTTAGTTTCTTGATAATATGTTCCAGAAAGTTGGGATGCAAGTGAAGTTTCCTTGTTGGGATAAATACCATGTATGGCAAAGAAATTTTGCTTGTACAAGCAGTTTGCTTTATTTGGTAGACTTCTGAATGAAATATTATGGATTTAAGATATAGAAGCCATTTACATACACAGAACCCACAAGCTATAAATACTTTCCATCCCTCATAAAATTATGCCATGGAACTGCACTTGTTTTGCCTAAAGGCATATCCAGACCTTTTATTCTGGGTCTTTGCATGCATGCATGTATTATTATGCTAATGTACACGTAATAGTTAATCAAATCTTTTTGAACGGGTAGAGTAGAAACAGCTGTATCCGACAAGCTGATGAAGATATAGGGCTTAAAACTGTCTCAAGTTTGACAAACCTGATATGAAACTAGTAGGACAGCGTTATGTAGGTCATGACGTGCATAATGGTTTGGGACTGAAAAATCTATGATCCACTCTGCTTTTATTTGACACTTCAGAGGTTATACTTCAAAGTTTTTATACTGTTTAACAACATATATGTGAGTAAATTCAGCAGCCTTCTTTTGAGATAATAGCTTTTTAAAAAAAGTTCAGCCATTAAACACAATTCCTAAATGTTCCATCTTTACAGAAATACTATTCACAGGGTTTCATTTGAAAGCATCGTCTCTTGTTTTGCAAAAAGATAACTAGAGTGAAACTATCTGAACTTTTACATTATAAATCTAGTCTTATTTGCATATTTAAAGTATGCAATATCTTGGTTATTGATGATACAACACCACATATTAATAAGATGACATGAATGACATGAATACATTCAGAGATGCTTTCAATTGTGACAACTAAATTGCCTTAACAATTGTAAAGGCCTATGACCAGGAATTAAGTATAATCTCTAAAGAGAACTATTTCCTTCACAGATAGATATACCAAGTCACAGCTATCTATATTCAATTCACCCAAACTTTATATTTCTATGTATATATTTATAACTTATTATGCATCTAAAATTATAAAATATAAAACCATTCTTATTACCAAAGGAAGGGAATTGTAATAACTAAATTTTTTTTGGCTACAGTCAAATTTAACCATAACAACTTTTAATCTTGCTGCCTTTAAGTAGCTTGCAAAAAAAAAAAGTATTAACTGAACATCCTTTGGCCTAAACATCCTTTAGCTTACAGCTGACACAATCTGTGTCACACTGAGAGTACAATATAAAAGTGGGGGGAAAAGTGAGAGAATCTGGTGGAATTGAAGACCTTACTACTTACTGAATAACTAGGTGTTGCTTTTATTTAGTATTTCAAGTTTTATTCCCTGTGACATTCATTCATTCATTTGTTTCTGGATTAAAACCTACTATTTGCTGCCCAAAAGGCAATGCAATGTAGTTCTGCTCTACATTCCAGAGCGCACCTGGAATACTGTATCCAGTTTTGGTTGCCATAATACAAGAAAGATGCTGAGAAACTGGAAAAAGTGAAAAGAAGAATAACAAAAATGAAGAGGAGTTTAGAAGCTAAATCCTACAAAGAATGGTTAAAAAAACCTGAATATGTTTAGCCTAAAAAAGAGAAGGCTTAGGAGAAACATGACAGTAGTCTTTCAATACTTGAAAAGCTATCAAGGGAAGAAGATATCTATTTATCCTCCATAGTATCCAAGGGTAAGATAAACCCCAGTGAGTGGAAGCCCTATGGAAAGATATCCAACCTTGAAATAAGGAGGAATTTTCTGACTATGAGAGCTTTTAGGCAATGGAACAGTCTGCCTTTTGAAGTCATGGCTGCATAATCAGCCATTTGTCTGGGATGAACTGAGGATTCCTACCCAGGCAGGGAATTAGACTAGAAGACCTTCAAAGTCCCTTCAAGGTCCATTGTAACCCTATGATGATTGTATAATCCTTATCTATTTTGATTTTTACTGCTTTTAATATGTAAACAGAGTGAAGAAAAACAATAACCAGATACAAATATTAAAAGAAAAAGAATTCTAAATATTGGTCTATAGCAATGGCTTACATACAGTATTTAGAATGTAGATGCTCTATAATTCCCTTCCCCCACTCTGTTATTGAACATATAACATCTAGACAGAGAATACAGAATAAGTAATTATATTAAAAAGCTGAGTATCTTTCAACCTTCCCATTTTTAAAATTAAACACAGCAATGCATTGTTTCTTTTCTTACCTTCTACGAATTTGATCACTGGGAGAGTTCAACATGAAAAACTGACTCTTAATGCCTCTCCTCATGCACACTGCCAAAATCTTCAGGAAAAACCTTCAGAGTAGATTTGAGGTGTGCAGGCCATGTGTGAGGAGGAGAGAAAACCGACAGACGAAGCGCACTTGCTTAATGTTCAGGAGAGCCAAAAATGTATTTATCATACTCTTTTACATTTGTGATCAAAAAGAGGATGGTGTCCTGTCTCCCTCCCTCCCTCATAACATTCCAGAAAGGAACAACTGGTGATGAGACAGTCCTCACTATCACTTGTTGAGATTAGAAAAGTTAGCCTGGGTGACACTTCAAAATGTGAGTCAAGAACCTGAATTTAAAATGTATAAATGAAAGAAAAGAAAAAAAAAAAGACACATATATAATTACTTTATCAATATAACTGTCTACAATAATTGGTTGACAAATGTTAAGGTTTATTAGACTGCTGCTATAGATTACCTTTACAAGAACCTTGCACATTTGCTTACAGGCCAAAATACTATTAAAATAATTCTTCTTCAGAATATATTGGGTTTTCTCACCGTTATAACTCTCAAGGACTCTGTAATGTATCCCCTTTAAGAAAGTACTTACATTAGGTCTTAGCTCAGCTGCCATTTTGTAATATTTCTCAGCTGCTTCATTGAGACTAGCTTGTCTATTGACAGAAGAAAAAAAGGCAAGTTCAGCGGAATTCAACTTGGTGATGGAAAATGAAAAGTTAATTGAATCATTGACATTATTAATAGTTGAAATACATCTTCAGCTTCTAATTATGTGAAGGATTCATTAACTTTTACATACTTTTTTTAAAAAAATAATGATATTGATATAATTACAAAGTCAGTATTCATGTAATCAAAACATTTTAGTCTGTATGTACCATTAGAAAATTAACCTGTAAACAATTTTAATTCATGTCTTATCTTTTAAAATTGGAATTTAAATCCTAGCTTAATGCTAATTATTAAAGTTACATGAAAATGCAGTTCCCAATTTCAGAGATAGCAAACTACTGTGGCTTAATATAAAATCTAAGTGCTGCAACCAGTAGCATAAAGCAAAGAGAGAGAAGTGGTTCCAGTGGTAGCGGTTGTGCTTGCTTTAGGAGAGCACCATTGATTCTTAAAGGCCCCTTGAATTGGATGACACCATAATCCTATATAGCTGAACAGATGGGCCTATGAGTCTGTGGCAACTGAGGGCAAATGAAGTCAATGCAGAAAGCACTGAGTTCACTTTAAATAGGCAAAGCACAAAAAATGTACCTGAAAAAGGAGTACTTGTTGATGATCTTGAACAATTTCAAAAAATAGTTATTTTGGGTTACTTCTAGCTTTCACCCATTATTTTATATATATATACACACACACACATACATACACACACACATACACACATGTATACATACACACACACACGTGTGTGTGTGTGCGTGTAGCAGCCTGT